AATGCTTTAACCACAGATCGTACCCAACCCTAGATATACTATGTTTTTCCTATACACATACACCTATGGTAAAGTTTAATTCATTAGTTAGGCACAGTAAGAGATTAACAACAATAACTGATAATACAATAGAACAATTATAACAATATACTGTAATGAAAGTTATGTGAATGTGGTCTCTCTCTCTTTCTCTGATAAATGGGATATGTTGGACAAAGGGATGATGCACATGCCCGGGCAGGACAGAACAGGATGGTGCAAAATTTCATCATGCTACTCAGAACATCATCCCATTTAAAACTTATAAATTGTGGCCCTGGCCTGGTAGCTCAGTTGGTTAGAACATTGTCCTGATACACCAAGGTTGTGGGTTCCATTCCCGGTCAGGGCACATACAAGAAACAACAAATGAATGCAGAAATAAGTGAAACAACAGCAACAAAATCAATGTTTCTCTCTCTCAAGTCGATAAATTTTTTAAAATGTATGAATTGTTTCTAGAATCTTCCATTTAATAATTTCGAACCGCTATTGACTGCAGAGTAACTGAGTATGGAAAGCAAAACTGTAGATAAGAGAGGACTACTATATGGTCAGCTTTTCCTAACTCTGGCAACACTTGGGCGTTTTACCCACTATATTCTCTCATCGCCGGCCCTGGAACCAGCGCTCAAGTGCCTTCCACCACGGCCACTGACATGTTTTATGTGGGAGCACTAGTGGCCTCTTCAGGTTGACTTCCTCAGACATTCCACAGATTGTGTTCTTTTTCAGCTCCCTGCCATCTCAAATTAGCCTCATCCAAGATAGAACTGCCTTTCCTCTTGGGATGGAAACTATATCTCCTAAAAGCACTCTTAGTTTCTGGTAATCATTTCCATCACAAGCTACTTGACCTTTCCCAGCTCTGTCATCTGTTTCAACATGGTAAACCATGCCTCCAAAGTCAGGTCTAGGTATGGAGGATCATTTTCACCTTGTACCCAGGATTCTGACAACACTGCTCCTCCACCTTTAAGAAGTAGTTGAATTTTTTTTTAATTTTTATTTAATTTAATTTAATTTTTTATAGAGGAGAATGATGATTTTTTAAAGATATATTTTATTGATTTTTTACAGAGAGGAAGGGAGAGGGATAGAGAGTTAGAAATATTGATGAGAGAGAAACATCGATCAGGTGCCTCCTGCACACACACCACTGGGGATGTGCCCGCAACCAAGGTACATGTCCTTGACTGGAATCGAACCTGGGACCATTGAGTCCACAGGCCGACGCTCTATCCACTGAGCCAAACCGGTTAGGGCAGTTGAATTTTTAATCATTCTGAAATGAGGGTCTCATATCCATGACCCACTAAAAAGTACTAGGTAAGCATTGGAGGCCCCTGGGATCTATGCTACACTATACTTATCCAGTCCAGCATTTTTTCAGTAAACATGTGATGAAGGTTTTGCTGTGCAATTTATGGTGCAAATAGATGAAATCCTTTCTTTCTAGTGGCCTGAGATTTGTGAAGCTCTTTGAAACCTTCAAAGGGAATATTAACGTGAAATGAAGGAGAAGGCTTTGCTGTAAGTTATTTTCATGACCAGGTAAATTCTTTAGTAATCATCCTTACACATTTATTAATTTTACAGAATGTAAGCATCCTGTATAAAGTGTGTTATTTTATAGATATTTTCAATCCTACAAATTATACCTTTACTTTAAAATATATTTACAATATTATAGCAATTTGTGCATGTTAATATTGAGAGATAATATATTTTATGTAAGATAAAAATGTGACAATAGATTTATATACTTTTTTAAAAAGTATTTTGAAACAATTGTTCAGCAGGGTTGCATTTATCCTAATTTCTTTCATCTTCTGGATAATCTTATATGTAGAATTGTGTAGTAATTTTCAAACTCTGTCTCATCATACTCTACTAGACACAAGTCACTAGGGACTTCTTTGCATGCACACCCAAGTCATAACTAGGTTACGACCACCAGAGTCATGGCTAGGTTCATCCACCATTCGATTTGCCTGGGACTGAGGCCTTCCCTGGAATGTGGGACTTTCAGTCAAAAATCTCAAAATGATTAGGCTTCAGTGCTAGGAGTTATAATCTACTCAGAGTCCTTAATAGAAACTGCACAAGGGTTTTTGGTAATTACGGAAAAAAGTGGCACATGTAAGGGTTTTGAGTCCACAAACTCAGGTGTGAAAAAGATGAATTCATAAATTAGTCAGGCTCCTGCCAGAGAAAAGATGGCACCACAAAAGATAATTAATTGAGGAGGATTTAACAAAGAAGTTACCTAAAAAGTGTAGATAGGATTAAAGGAAGTCAAGTAGGAATAGTGCAGCTCCCCTACCCCCACCTCATGCTAATGACAATGGGAAAGCGTCTAAAGATTTTAGATTTTTGAGGGCAAGGAGAGGGAATGGTTAACAGAACACAACTCAGAGAGAGTAACTACAAGGCAGGGCTACCAGACAGGATCTGCTGCCTTCAGTAAAAGGACTCAGTCAACCCATAGGGAGGGATCCTTGGAAATAAACATCCCAGTTCATCCTTTTCTCTTCCTCTGATCTCCTGCCAGTGCCTCCCAATGGCTGGACACAACTGGAATCCAGAGGGCAAAGAAGTCTGTAGAAGCCATCCAAAAAGGTTAGCTCCCTGGGGCACAGAGCAGAGAGAAAAAAGTGGAGAATGGACCTAAGAGATAAGCAAAAAAATTCAGCCTACAATATTTTCTTAAACTTAATCTTATTTGGAGAACCTATTCCACCAAAGTTGTAAGAAATTTAGTCATTAATGGGCTCTGCCTCCCCTCCCCACCCATATCCATCCCATGTAAGACCCTTATTCCAGAGAGCAAACTTTAATCTACACTGCACTCACACTTGCTGCTGAGATGGGCGTTGTCCAAGCTTGCAAGAACATCCAAGTCTGGTGGTCCTGTGGCTCTGCTCCACACCATTCACGGGAGCCTTTACCAGAGTTAAGAACGTTGAGGGATGTGATGCTACCCAAATATGCCCACCATGCAGACATCCCCTACACCACAAAGACCTTCCAGAAGGCAGGAGAGAGCGAGCAGGCCACAGTCCCACTTACTCACAGTAAGCTATTGTCCCTTTTCCAGGCTTGAGAATCTTATTGCCTTGGCTTCTGCTTTTGCATATCTCCTTACACAGACACTAGCTCTTCTTCCCTTCCACTTGAAGTGCCCTAGCATATTATATTTAGTGGGTTTGTTCACATTATAAAGAGAGGTCTTTCCTTGAGTCAGCTTCAGCCTTCAGTCCTATAAACTACCACCTGCCAAACTCTTGGCTTTCTCTTTGGAATAAGAACAAAAGAAAATTACAGAAACAAGCTCAGAATTCTCTCTTTTTCTTCTATTGCAATGTAAATAAATGCAATTGAGTTTATATACAACAAATTGGAAATGTAAATGGTGCTGGGGTACTATAGCAAAGGGGAAATTGAGATCAATCCTAAAATGTAAGAGAAAAAAAATCTATACTAATATTAGAGGAATATGCAAATTGTCTGGGACGCCATCCCAGTAACAGTAATGACCAGCAGGCTGCGTGGGGCGACCAGGTCGGCAAGGGGGTTAGTGAGGGATGACCAAATGACTGAACAGCAGGCTGTGTGGGGCAACCTGGCCAGCAGGGGGAGGGCAGTTGGGGGCGACCAGGCCGGCAGAGGGGGGCAGTTGGGGCAACCAGGCTGGAAGGGGTGGGGCAGTTGGGGGCTACCAGGGGGGGCTGTAAGGGACAACCAGGTTGGTGGGGGGGGGCAGTTAGGGGCAACCAGGCTGGCAGCGAGGGGCAGTTGGGGATGACTAGGCCAGCAGCAGAGGCGGTTAGGAGTGATCAGGCAGGCAGGTAGGTGAGCAGTTAGGAGCCAGCGGTCCTGGATTGTGAGAGGGATGTCCGACTGCCAGTTTAGGCCCGATCCCCAGAATCAGGCCTAAACCTGCAGTCAGACATCCCCCGAGGAGTCCTGGATTAGAAAGGGTGCAGGCTGGGCTGAGGGGACTCCCCCCCGCCTGCATGAATTTTTTGCATTGGGCCTCTAGTATGCATATAAAAGAAAATCAGTGTATAAAAAGTCAAGAAAACAGCAATAGACTAATCATGTATTACACTCCACATATTATCCTTTTCCCTCCTCACTTTGCTTCTATGTGCATGAGCTTCTGAGTTTGACAGAAATGGAGGGACACAGGAGGAGGAAATTACAATTTTCAAAACAAACTTGCCTCTCTGAATGAATGCTAGATTGCTTTACAGGGTTGGTATCCTCCTATAATCCATGTGGAAAAGAGCCATAGGAAGTATCAGTGTAGAGTTGAATAGATGGTCCTGCTTTGGACCTTGAATGACCATAATCTGGTTACCACCTCTGTAAAATTAGGATACCAATCTTGCAGAACTGGTGTGAGGATTAGAAATGATAAATATGAGGCCCCTGATTAGTACCTAGGCCATGATGGATACCAGATAAATGATGCCTCCTTTTAGTATTAAAGGAACTGTGCCACCCTCAATACTACAGAAAACAACACATGCAAGAAAGATCTGAGAACCTGATGGATTAAAAAATGAACTGGACTATAGTTAAGAACAAATGAAATAATAAGATGGCAAATGGAAAGGGTCAACTGAATAGAATAAAGAGTCTCTACCTTGGAGACATTTTTGTCACTTCCTTCTGGTTTTTGTTTGAGAGGGGATTAGGAAAGATCCTCTGATTACAAAACATACTCTCAATATGAGTTTGGTTCCCATCTGGAGGAAAAGGCATAAGTAACCCCAGTCCAGCATTTTCTTGACAGACTTCTATCTCAAACAGCACTGTGGCCTATTTTGGAAGGTATGTACGGCTTGCTTAAGAGTGTCAGCCATAATGGAAGTCAGGAAAATGCCAATTAACCTTGAGGGACCGGAATATATTGAGATCAGAAACTAGGGCTAAGGTGTGCCCAGTTATACCTGTTGAGTGGCCACAGTGAATCTTAGTTCCTAGGCTGCGAAGAAGAGTCAAGTGACAGTGACGTGAATATCACTCCACTCTCCAGAGATGACTCCTGCTCCTGTCAAACCTGGGTAATAAAATACCAGTTAAGCACATCCTCTGGGCCTTTACAGTAAATCAAGACTACATCCAACCACCACTCTCTTGCCCACAAAGATTGTCTTTAGAACTTTCTCAAATAGAGACACATTGAATTCATTTTATCACATGAATTTCTCACTATCTCACAGTTAGAGATCCTTCTTGATACTACTTACCTTGTGTTCTTTTGGTCTACTCTTGTTAGAGAGAACAAAATAGCTGGCTAGCATGATTTTACATCAGTGAAATACAAATAAAATGGTATTCTATTTTCTTGGATCCCAAAATACCTTTTAGGTCCCTTTAATTAAAAAAAAATGTTTTTATTGACTTTAGAAAGAGAGAAGGGAGAGGGAGAGAGAGAAACATTGATCTGCTGCCTCCTGCATGCCCCCCACTGTGGATCAAGCCCACAACGCAGGCATGTGCCCTGACCAGGAATTGAACTGGTGATTTCTCGGTCAATGGGATGACACTCAACCAACTGAGCCACTCCGGCAGGGCCCTTTTAGGTCCCTTTAAATGTCAGAGTCCATACTTTAGCTTTAGGACAATATTTCATTTCATTATATTTATATATCATAAACCTTGAATCTGAGGAGAAACTCAGGAAATTAAGATACAGAAAAATAGAAGTGGCCACCACCAAATAGTGAAATATGCCTTTGCTGTAACGTGTGTGTTGTGCTGTTGAGTCGGCTCCAATTCCTGGCAGCCCTGTGAATGAGTGACGTCCACAATGTCTTGTCCTTGACCATCCTGCTCAGCTCCTGAGATTCATGCCTGTGGCTTCTTTTATGGAGTCAATCCATCTCATTTTTGTTCTTCCTATTTTCCTTTACTGTAACATACTTCTTTATATTGTCCATCATCCTGACGATGTGCTTTCAGCCTAGTGGAGTTTAATAATAATCATCTATACTAATAAAAGGGTAATATGCTAATTAGACCGGATAGACCAGACATCTTCCGGTCATCTGGTCCTCCTTCTGGACAAAGCCACGGTGGCGGGGGCGGAGGCAGAGGCAGTTAGGGGTGATCAGGCCGGCAAGGGAGGGCAGTTAGGGGTGATCAGGCCAGTAGGCAGAGGTGGTTAGGGGCAATCAGGCCGACAGGCAGAATGATTAGGGGTGATCAGGCAGGCAGGTGAACGGTTAAAAGCCAGCAGTCCAGGATTGCAAGAGGGATGTCTGACTGCCGGTTTAGGTAGTTGGACATCCCCCAAGGGGTCCCGGATTGGAGAGGATGCAGGCTGGGCTGAGGACCCCCCCCCCCCCGCATGAATTTCATGCACTGGGCCTCTAGTAACATAATAATAATACATAAAATATACACATACACAAAAAAATCACCCAACCACCATCAAAACAAAGTACTGTAACTGCCTCAGAAAACAAACTAAACCATTCCACTTGATTCTTGCAATCTTGTTTTTAAAAATTAGCCTACCTGATTTTAAGTTTTTCCTGTTGATATTTCACAACTCTTAAGTTTTTCATTTTCTATGTAAATATTTACTGTGGGGACCCCGAGTGTGGTATAGCTTTAAATTCTAAAACTTTTACTTGCTTCTTTAAAAATTCTAAAATTGCTCCATCTTTAACAATGAAATCATCCTTTAATTACTGCTCTTCACCTTACATGGCATAAGAAGCAAAAGGGAAGGAAGAACTGGCTTGAAAGTCAAAAATTTGAAAATCACTTTAAGTTTCCTAAACAGAAATATTAATAAAGAAAAGAGTATTTTTACTAAAACAATTTTGAAAATGTATTTCATGCCTCAGAGCAAAACAGCATTAGGTAGATGTGTTTCTGAAAATTCACAACTTCTCTGCAATTGTAATTTGCAACCTATTACCTTAGTAAGGCACAGATATCCTATCATAATACTTACTTTTGCTCAAACTCTGCTCCCCAACATCTTTTTTTCCTTTTTTTTTTTTTTTTACCCTTGACCAGAATCGAACCTGGGACCCTTCAGTCCACAGGCTGATGCTCTATCCACTGAGCCAAACCAGTCAGGGCTCCCCAACATCTTATACTTATTAAAAGACCAGCATCAATAGTGATAAATGCATGGGATTCAGGTAAAGGCAGAATAAAAGAAAGAGGACTAGAAAAAGTTTGCTTGGAGAGCAGTGAAGATTTCTAGAGATCTAAACACTTGGAAGAGAGAGATATTACTCATTGTTTTTATTTAGTTCAAATATTAAAATAAATACACACTCAGATCTACGCTAGCAAATATTGCTACTTGAGGGTGCTTTTTCTTTATATACATACTAGAGGCCCAGTGCACAAATTCGTGCACGGGTGGGGTCCGACCGGCCAGGCTCCAATTACAGTGGATTGGGGCTGGGCCTGTCGGGAGGAGGAGATGGCGGGAGGTTGGCTGGCCGGCCTGCCTGGATTGAAGCCCAATCAGGGCCCCTGATCAGGGTAGGCCGCTGGGGAGGGCTGTGGCAATTGGACGGCGACCTGCCCGATGGGATGGGGGCTTACTG